AGGAGCCATCGGTGAGGGTGGGGAGGGAGGGATGCTGCCCCCCTGTGGGGTAACCGGGGCTTTGTCAACATTTGGGGGGCACAGAGTGGACCCATTCCCTCTGCAAGGTGGGGACAGCCCTCAGCATTGTCTGCACAGGCAGAAGAACAGGGACTGGGGAGGTATATAGGGCACCTGTCCCCTGCTCTAACAAGGAGTGCCAGCTCTGCTGCCTCCTCTTGCTCTTTGCTCAGAGCACCCCACAGCAGTGCCCAGCACGGGACCCTCCCCAGTTCCCCCCGACTGCAGTGCTGCCTTTCCCTGCTGGCTGTGTGGTCTCTGTGGCTTCCACTGTCCATGGCGGAATGTTGGCTCTGCTCTCCATCTCTGCCAGCATGACCCTCACCTGCTCAATCTCCTCCTCCAAGCACTGGGTGGCTGGGGGCTGCACTGGACACCCCGCTCGCCGGCCAGGCAGTTGCCAGCCCCCTAGCCCAGTGTGCAGTGGGGCCACACCACCCCCCTGCGTGGAGAAGAGCTGGCAGAGGTGGTGGGCACGGTGCAGGTCCTGCAGGAAGAGCTCCAGGGTGGAGAGGAAGAGCACCCACAGTCGCTCCAGCTCCCGCCGCTCCAGTGGGCTCAGTGGTGTCTGCTGCAGCCCTGCCAGCAGCACCCGCCGCAGCCCTGCAGGATGGAGGGCCCTGCAGCCCCTGCATGGCCCTGGCGTGGACTCTGCAGCTGCTGCCCAGTGCAGCCACCCCCTCCTTACCGGTGCTGAGCTCACGGGCCTCTGTGCTCCTCCTGCACCGCTCCTCCCGCAGCCGAGGGCCATCGCTGCTGCCCCCAAGCTGCAGCACCAGCTGTCGGTGTCCAGCTGTGGCTTTGCAGAGGGCAGCCTGGGCTGTGGTACACATCCCCACTGCTCCCCGTGCACGGCATACATCCCCTCTGCCTGGTGCCATTGCACCCTGTGAGAACAGGGCAGTCAGGATGCCTGTGGTGGTCCTTGGCTCTCTGAGGCTCTCAGCTTCCCTGTGCCACAGTGCTGTGCTGTAGGGATGTGACTGGCTCTGAGCTGTATCCTGCCAGCTGCATAGGCAGTCCCACCCATCTCGGCCTGGGGGCTGTGCCCCCCTTGTTGCCTGCTGTGCTCCGCCCCAGCTGGTCCCCAGGGAGCTGTGATGCCTGGCAGGCTAGCACAGCCTGTCCAGGCACAGAGGTTCCAGCATCACCTTGACCCCACAGGGAGGGGGTGGCTGCTGCCCTTTCACCTTATAGCCAGGTCCTCTGTGCTTCTCTGGGTGGGAGATTGAGGTCCCAGTGTGGGGCAAATGGTGGTGGCTCCCCAGAACCCCTGCTGTCCCGCGGCCCTGCATTGAAGCAGGAGTCTTGGGGCCAGGGCTGCACTCCCCCACCCGCTGACGTGTGAACCAGTTGTTTTGGATGGAAACTCTGAGCTCAGCGCTGGCATCTGTCCAGCAGCCCGTGGGAACCACAGCCCTGTGCTGCCCTTGCAGTCCTGGAGTGTGGCCCCGTGGCATGAGCTCATCTGGCATGAGGCACCCACCAGGCACAGTCCCCTCCCTGGGGAGTGGGGCAGGGGCATGGTGTCTCAGTCCCCTCCCCGTGCACACCCAATAAAGTCCTGGACCAGCAGCTCAAGCCTTTCCTCTTTTATTGAGGCATGAATTGAAGCCACAGATGACAGACAGGAGGAAAAGCGCAGCCGCCAGTGGTGGGATGAGACTGGGGCCCTGGCACAGAGCAGGGTCTCAGCCAGTGCCAGGGGCTGGGTGCTGCAGAGCTGCTGCTCCCTGAGCTGCAGGGGAGCAGGGCTGGATGCAGCAACCAGCCTGAGGAATGTCTGGTCCTTTACTGCACGCCCTCCATCATCTTCAGGAACTCTGCAAGAGAGCAGTAACCTCAGCCCACAGCCCTGCCCAGGTGCACAGCATGAGCACATGGCCAGGGTCATTGCTCACCATCGAAGTCAATGCGGCCATCGTTGTTCTTGTCCGAGTCCTTCATCATGTCCTCTATGTCCTCATCAGTGACAGGCTCCCCGGTGGCCCTCAGGATCTCACCCAGCTCCTCAATGTCGATGAACCCATCTGCATT